GATTTTTTTCGCTAACGGCACTGGTTTTTCCGGCAGATGCTTCTAGCTAAAAGAATTTCAGACTGGACGTCAGGATTGTCAGGAAACATCCCTTCAAAATTCCAGTCTTCAAGCTTCTCAGATTCCCGAGTTAGCGATTTACCCGAAAAAAATTTTGGCGGGCCCGTACGTGGGTGCCACGCTTACCCGGGGGCTGGGTTTGAACTCATTAATACCAACTTGGATGGGGAACGTCCCCTTAAAATTCCAGCCTCCCAGCATTTGTGGTTCCCGAATTATCAGTTTACCCGTAAAAAACTTTGGCGGGCTCGTACGTGGGTATCATGACGATAAGAGCGCCCATTTTGAGGTTGAAAGCCCGTACATGCATGTAGATTAAGTTCCCAAAATTTCAGCCCCATAGCTTTTGTAGGTCTCGAGATGAAAAATCATTACAGACGAACGCAAAGATACACACAAACAGACAACCCTTCGTCAGTATGCGTTTTCTGCATTGCATAGCTGCAAAAAACGCATAAAAATGATAAAATTGTAGCATCCATACTAAGATGAGCTCTGTCATCAGCTTGCTTCTAAGCAACTCTCGAAAGAGGGAATCATCGACAGCTTTACCGGCAAATGGTTGATGCTAGCACTTGCTATCACTCGATCTACCCAGCTTTTTATAGAAGGTGGATACAGAAAAGGTTCTGACTTTGACTAAGATGATAACAGCACCAAGAAAATATCATAACGAAATTACAACAACGTATTGGGAGCTTTTTGAAAAATATAAACTGATAAGATGAAGAGTCCCCTCAAAATCCCCCTATCGTGCCCCTAAGAGTTAATTTACTGGACTGGTGGCGTGCCCTACGTGTGTATGTGTATGTGTGTGTGTGTGTGTGTGTGTGTGTGTGTGTGTGTCGAAACTCTTATATATATTTTTATGATTATATACAAAACTAAGGTTACACAACAGGGGCGCAGTGGTGCGTAATAGAGGCAACAAAGAGGTGAAGAGGTTCTGCAGAGCCGAAGCTCCCAAGAACAGAGTTAAGCAGTAAGGAGTAGCTCTGTATTCCGGGAATGGGGAGAAGTGATTTTATACCATATTGCTCAGAGAATACTAAGATTTTAAACTTTTAAAGTAGGGTGCCCAAAGGTTGAACCGGGGATCAGGGCATCGCATCATAGCGAAATTATTTCTCACGCAGTTTCTAACAAAAAACCATAAATCATTATTTGACATATTGTGTAACACCACCACTTACCGGTAACTCCGCAGTAGCCGTAGCAGCAGTGCCGGTAAGTCCTTTGCCAAAAAAAGATATAGGCCGAATTTGTATCAAAAACCGACAACAATCTGTTCTTGCTAGATTTTGCCTCAGCGAAGCAGATGTTGATGGGGAAACTGTTGTTACTGGGGCCAAAAAATGCCTACCAAACTGCACTGTAAATGGCATTTTCCGCGGAATCATCCTGCAAATAACATGCATTTATGTAAAAAAACCGAACAGATCCAAAAGACCGTGTTAGAAGCTCAACCTACGGTATTAGCTACAACTGCAGTTTCTAGTCAATAAGGAACCTCCGCTTGTCGGGGAAACTTCTGAGTTGGTAATCCCTTCAGGAAACGAAACGAATGCCAAGATCATCAGCAGGGTAACTGGAGGTCCAGCTGATGTAGCTACTACAGAAAACCCGCGAAAAGCTGGCTAAAGAGGACCGCCACACAAAAGTATACACTCCCACGTGAAGGGGTGACAAAAAGTTGTGTTAATTGCAGATACACAGTAGATGTGCTTCCAGGCTGATTTGGTAGAAGAATTGATAGTGAATCTAAAAGTAGACTGCGTCCGGATGTGAAGACGAGTGATTCGACTCCCTCCAGCTCAACACACATTTGCAAAACAGTAGCAATCATATAGCCGCAGCGGTTTCGGTCGATACAAAGTTATAATCTCAAAAGATATTTTTGTATGAAAAAAAAAAAAAAAAAAAAAGACGGGGAACATAACATCCCGTAGGACTGCAAATTCTGTCATGATATTTTTCTTATCATTTTTATCTTTTTTTTTTTTTTTGAAAGTAAAAATAGTACAAAAATAACAACGTATTTAACATAGAAATAAACAAAAGTAACGCATCATCATAATTCTGTTGCAAACACACATCCACTTACAAATACTACAAATACACACAAACACACACAAAGCATGTAAACATAAACACAAAAACACATACACACCCACACACACATCACCCACACATCCGCACACACCCGCTTACATACACAGCCACCCACCCACACACATCAGTTCACACAAACACCCACCCATCCACGCACGTCCACCCACACACACCCATCCACACATGCCCACCCATACATACTCGCATAGACACCCACTCAACCTACCCACACGCACCCACACCCACCCACGCACACATGCACAAAAAACGTATTCGCAGAAAATCCAAGCAAATCAACATGCAAAATGAACAGTTTGTTATAACCTATTACATAGAAGAAATCCTTAGAAAAACCCGCATAAATGTGCATTGTTGACATCAATTACTCAGTGGAAATGCTGTCAAATTCGGCTAGCGGAGGGTGAACTTTTTGGCCTCACTAGTGCTACCTATCTAAGCTGATTATCGCATGATTGTAGCATGAAAGTAATATGAAGAACTTAAAAAAAGAAGGCAAGAATGGAATAAACTATCTAACCCTTACTTAACAATTCATTTCCCTCATCAGCAAAAGTGAGTCACCAGACTGATCAAAAAAAGCAGTGTTTCTCGCTATGCCAAATTTGCCTTGAAATATTTAACTACCTTCAGCCAAAAGCTTATTAATTTCAATTTTCTGAGGATCCGATTCAATCACCACCGATTTCGTTTTGCTGGCTTTTGCAGCAGCTTCCAATCGGAGTGCTTCCTTTTTCTGTTCCTCCATCAATTTTAGAACTTTTGAATTTGGCAAATTTTTCTGCTCCTCAGTCCATGATTCCGCGAATAACGAATCCTGTTTTATACCATAGTTTTCAGCATCATTCACATGAATTTCCGGTATTTCATATATTACTTCCCCGTCTTTTTCAGCAATTTTCGTTATTTTTTCCTTCTGCTTCAGTAATTCCATTGCTCTTTGTCTTCTCATTTCTGAAAAAAATATGTGAAATAAGCATAGAAAGCGAAAAATTGAAAGGCGAAGGGAAGAGACACAAACTCATCTTACAAAAAAAAAAAAAATCAAAAGAACGGGACAATAACTGATGTGAAGAGATAACGAGGGAAAGAGGGGCAAAACTCAAAACGGATGAGGAGCAAATAGGTTAATCCTATCAGTTAAATCCCTTTTGCACCTACCTCATTCCCAATTAACACAAAAAATCGCTCATAAATCACCGAAATTCAATCACAACATCGCTGTTATTAATACTCATAATTCAAATCTCTCCAAGTCTCAATTCAGAGCTTTTCAAGTTCCCGAGTTAGCTACCCGCAGAAAAATTTCACGGACCCATGCGTCGGAATCATGCAAATCTGGGGGCTGGGTATGAACTCAACCCTACGTGGACGGGGAAACTTCAAACTCAACAAAGTACTTCATCACGGCCTGGAATTGGCAACGTTCCAGATAGGGCTATGATGCTCAACATACACCAATGACTTATCGTAACAACTAAATTTTTCTCAAGCGGTTCTGCCGGGAGAATCGATAGGCTGGAAATCCTTTCAGGGGACAAAACAGAGTTGCCATCTCAGGCAGGCTGACCAATTGCATAGCTAGTGTATCAGTGGTACCAATTATAAACTGTTTAAGATATTACTACTTGATATTAACATCCAAATTAAGTGGTATCGGTAAGAAATGTATACGACTTAATGGACCGAAACATTTCTCACCTAATTTAGTACTTCTTTTTCACATCCCTCCTTTTCTATCATCCTTTCTTATATTTTCCAACAGCACTTACACATTTTTCTTTTAACCTTAAAT